CCTTTTCAGAGCAAAAGCCTATTTGAAGAAGGAGGCATGAGCAGCAAAACCTGCAGAAACTCTATCTCAGAGCATTACATACCACACAAAAGCATTTTAGCAAGTCTGAATGGAGACAGTGAACAGAAAAGCTACAGCAGCACTGCCCAGAAATCCTAAATAGCCACAGCTCAGGATCCCAGCCAATGGGCCAGGTAAAACAGCCTGTGGGGACTTTTCCCCTCAGCTTTCTCCAGGTACTTTCACCAGTTGTCCAGGTTCACCTCTTCTTCCTAAGGTGTTATCACCGGTCAGATCAGGGCTTTGATGGGTCAGAAAAAGGTCAAAGGACTCCTGAGAAATACTGCAATTCAAAGGGAAGGCAGCACAGTGGGATTTCTGATTCCTGGTGCATTCTCTAAAGCCAGGGTTACCTATCCCCACCAGGTATTCCAGACCTCCATGCTTACATATCTGCACAGCTGTCCTAAAGTCCAGCAGTGCTCTGTACCCATGCAAATTATTTCACTGCCTCCCAAGACATCCTACCACTTATGCTTTCCTCCTGCTCATTCCTTGTCTCTCTGTATTTTCCTTCATTTAACAAACCAGACTTTGACACAAACCAAGAGTGTCTTCAGTATTTTTCTAGTGCTGGTTGAGGGCACAATAGTTTTTGCTCTCTCTTCTTAAGAACCCACTTGGAATCTACATGTGCCCATCAACCTTTAAAGACAAAATCCTGCACCATTAATTGAGACAAAATCTTCTCAGAGGATTTTTTAAAATAGACTGACAGAAAGTACTGTTAAAGAAAGGCAGAACTGTTCTCTTACTGTGGAAATTTAACATTTCTGCCACACAAACACAAGGCAACCATGTATTCTGTAAGCCACGTGCTGCGTGTTTTCCAAAACAGATGCTCATTCATGAGCATGGTTTAAACAAAGGAGATAAGGTTACAGTAATCTCAAGATAAAAACGTAACAGCTTCACTGTTTACTACGAAGTTCCAGCAATAAACCAGAAGTGCCACGAGCTCTGTGAACTGACAGGAAAACAGGGGATCTGCATCCAAGTGCTGGCTGTCCAGGAATGCTGATTTCCTGAGGAACAGAGCCTGCCCTGATGGAAGCTGCCTTCCAGCAGGCACATCCACAGACGTGGCAGCACGGGGATTCAGGAGCAGCAGGCACAGCAAGGTGCTGCACACCTGCCCAGGGGGACAATGCCTTGGATAAAGCCACTGCCTGCTCAGAGGAGTTCCCAGCCCATCTGCCTCCCTGCCCATCCCTGGCACACACTGCTCCGAGCACACAAATCTCACAAAACTCTCTTCTAGGAAATGCTGGACACAAGGTATTTTAATTTTCAGTGGCTGCATTTCCACAGAAGAGCTGTGGATGGCAACAAATTGCTCCTATTATGCAAATGCAACTGCACACTTGGAAATTGCCGATGTGGCTCTTCTGAAGATGCAGGAATTGCCAGTGTGGAAAGTTCAATTGAACAAGCCAAGTCTTCTCAAAACACTGAAACCACAAAACACAGACTCTGTCTAGCTAATTTCCCACTGTATTTGACTGCAGGTGGAGGGGGGTAACCATGAGATTCACCTTCAAATTACGATTCCTTTAAAAATAAGAAAATTGCTTTATGTAAATACTTCCACAAAAAGTTGTATCAATACTTCTGACAATAATCAACAGAAACACTGCATGACTATACAGGAACCCTCTATAGCCAAGCTGTCTATCGTGAAGGTTAAAATGCAGAGCAATCTATTTATACCATAAGATTTCTGTTTTACAGAAAGAGCCATAGCAACTGGCATGATGGCAGAAAGCCCTTGCCAAGAAAAAAAAAAAA